ATACAAATATCATGTGTTTATTACGTTTAAGACGTGAAAGTTGTTATTTATAGCACTTATGCAATCAAAATCTCATAATAAAGGTTTAAGTATTGATTGTTTACCACAAGTTATGAAATTAACATACGTGTAACCTATGTAAGTTAGTCTATCGATTGTCTTTATGGCAATGTTTATATTATTAAGTTTAGCATAAATGTACCAACATGCTTCAATTGTTTCTATTCTATAAATAGATTGTGATGAATATTTTTAACATAAAATTATTTTCGTTTATATAATTTTAATATTTGTGTTATTTATTGAATTCTTATTAATTTCCTGACATTTAATATACTGTTATAAGTTTTCATCAAATGTACTTTTATTTACACATAAGACATTTTGTTAAACAGTATTTAAAATGTCATTATATTAACTTTGAATTGTTTTTTGTTTTATTTGAATTTTAACATTAGATTACATTTGTATATATTTACAGATTATAGTAAAAAATTAACAAAATCCTTACAAAAGTAGTATAACTACATATGAAATATAAACAAAAATACAATTCATTTAAATATGAATACGGTTTTATAAACGGTGTCAAATCTATCCATTTACAGAATATTCCCGAATGGCTTCGCATTCAAATGAAAGACATAAAGAGTTCGTCTGAATTCATAGACCAATTTCTAACGTCAATCGACAATAACAGCGATAATAATGATATGAATACCAATAGTAATGGAAATGATAGCGTATTTTTGCAGTACATAGAGAGAGGAGATTCAGGTTTTTACTCAATTCTTTAACATTGAAACAAATGTGAAACTTTTTTAACTCAATGTTTGCAACTCTAGACTCGGAAAACCGTTCCGTTGCGGACATGGATGTGAACGAGGAAAGTGAGTCTAGTTTTTATATAACTATTTTGTTGTTTCTTTTAAATAAATATTTATTTTGTTATTTTTTGTCAAAATAGGAAAAAAACTTAAAAAATGTAAGAAAATGAATTTTAATTTAATTTACAAATGATTAATCAAAACGTGATAATAAAGTGCCCCGAATTGGAAGCCCAGCCGCGTGTATACCTGAGATGAAAATAGTTGAACTCCAGACCACCAATTCTGGCGATGAACTGTATTACCCGTCGTGTGTGCGGATACCCCGGTGTTCGGGTTGCTGTTCCAGTCAACGCCTACAATGTGTTGCCATCAATACATCCTTTGAAGACATATCTGTAAAGACCATTAGTTTCTCAGTTAATAAGAAATATATTTACTAATAAACTGAATGTTCAGGTGATTCGTGTTAAGTACTCGACGGCCGAAAGGCGGCTCAAGTTTGAAGGATTCAAAGTGTTTCGCATCGAAAGACACGACACGTGTTTATGTGAATGCATTCAGAAATCGACGGATTGTTTGCCAAAACAGATCTATTCCGAGAGGGAGTGTCGATG